TTCCTGTATATTATGACATTTCTGGATTCTGCGGAAAATTCTAGACATATTTCATGTACAATGTCTGTAGTTTAGGCGGAATTTTTAATCATGGATTAAATTCAAGGTCGGTGTCAAATAATAGTTTATGAAAAACTAAGATAGAAATGTAAAATCCGTTTTCTTGTAAAATTAACCGTTCAGGTTTTACAGTCTGTCAAAGATGCAAAAAAGTCAATTTTCAACTGTCAATATTTCCGAAACACTTGAAGATAGGTATATGACATTGTACATTGAATCTGTCTAGAATTTTTCGCAGAATCTAGAAATATCATAATATACAGGGGGAGTCATTTAAAAAAACATAACTTTGTGTCACTACTAGTTATTGAGCCACCCTATATACTGGAAAATAATTTAGGAATGTAGTACTCATGTTTATCTACAAGTTTAGTATTTAGTTTTTTCTTCGATCTCCATTAGTATAGGAGATATGGACCACCGCGCGCTTAGTAACTCACCCTGTATAAAATATTGGTTAGCTTAGCAATCGAATTTAATCGAAATTAGGTTGCTATAGTGGGTTGTCGCTGCTAAACCATGGGTTTAATAATAATCGGTGGTATTTCGGATATATGGGGTCATTGATCCGTAATTTTTGCCTTCCGGGGTAAAGTTTTGTAAGGGATGAACAAAACTGTTGGTTCCTCTTTAGCCAGATTTGGTCATATTCCTTCTGGTGTTACCATATGTCCAAGAAAGGCAACTTCTTTCTTCTCTTTTTAGGAACTCGCATTTGTCTATTTGAATTTTGAATCCAGTTTGTCTGAGACGTTGAAAGATTTTTGGAAGATAAATCAGGTGCTCTTGAAGTGATGTGCTGAACACAATGATATCGTCGATGTCCCATGTACACTTAGCAATTTTCTCCTTAGAGGCCTTTCAAAACCTTATCCCTCTGGAACGTAGCTGGAGCGTTTGTTAGGCCAAACGGCATCCGGACATACCTATTCGTAATGGCCATTTTCGACATTGAAAGATTTTTGAAACATAAACCAGGTGCTCTTGAAGTGATGTGCTGAACACAATGATATCGTCCATGTACACTTAGCAATTTTCTCCTTGGAAGCCTTTCAAAACCTTATCCCTCTAGAACGTAGCTGGAGCGTTTGTTAGGCCAAACGGCATCTGGACGTACTCGTAATGGCCCTTTTCGATATTGAAAGATTTTTGAAACATAAACCAGGTGCTCTTGACGTGCTGTGCTGAACACAATGATATCGTCCATGTACACTTAGCAATTTTCTCCTTCGAGGCCTTTCGAAACCTTATCCCTCTGGAACGTAGCTGGAGCGTTTGTTAGGCCAAACGGCATCCGGACATACTCGTAATGGCCATTTTGGACATTGAAAGATTTTTGGAAGATAAACCAGGTGCTCTTGAAGTGATGTGCTGAACACGATAATATCGTCCATGTACACTTAGCAATTTTCTCCTTGGAGGCCTTTCAAAACCTTATTCCTCTAGAAAGTAGCTGGAGCGTTTGTTAGGCCAAACGGCATCCGGACATACTCGTAATGGCCATTTTCGACATTTAAAGATTTTTGAAACATAAACCAGGTGCTCTTGAAGTGATGTGCTGAACACAATGATATCGTCCATGTACACTTAGCAATTTTCTCCTTCGAGGCCTTTCAAAACCTTATCCCTCTGGAACGTAGCTGGAGCGTTTCTAAGGCCAAACGGCATCCGGACGTACTCGTAATGGCCATTATCGACATTGAAAGATTTTTGAAACATAAACCAGGTGCTCTTGAAATGATGTGCTGAGCACAATGATATCGTTCATGTACACTTAGCAATTTTCTCCTTGGAGGCCTTGCAAAACCTTATCCCTCGAGAACGTAGCTGGAGCATTTGTTAGGTCAAACGGCATCCGGACGTACTCGTAATGGCCCTTTTCGATATTGAAAGATTTTTGAAACATAAACCAGGTGCTCTTGAAGTGATGTGCTGAACACTATGATATCGTCCATGTACACTTAGCAATTTTTTTCTTGGAGGCCTTTCAAAACCTTATCTCTCTGGAACGTAGCTGGAGCGTTTGTTAGGCCAAACGGCATCCGGGCGTACTCGTAATGGCCTTTTTCGATATTGAAAGATTTTTCAAACACAAACCAGGTGCTCTTGACGTGATGTGCTGAACACAATGATATCGTCCATGTACACTTAGCAATTTTCTCCTTGGAGGCCTTTCAAAACCTTGTTCGTCTGGAACGTAGCTGGAGCATTTGCTAGGCCAAACGGCATCCGGACATACCTACTCGTAATGGCCTTTTTCGATATTGAAAGATTTTTCAAACATAAACCAGGTGCTCTTGAAGTGATGTGCTGAACACAATGATATCGTACACTTAGCATTTTTTTCCTTGGAGGCCTTTCAAAACCTTATCCCTCTGGAACGTTGCTGGAGCGTTTGTTAGGCCAAATGGTATCAAGACATACTCGTAATGGCCATTTTCGACATTGAAAGATTTTTGAAACATAAACCTGGTGCTCTTGAAGTGATGTGCTGAACACAATAATATCGTCCATGTACACTTACCAATTTTCTCCTTGGAGACCTTTCAAAACCTTATTCCTCTAGAACGTAGCTGGAGCGTTTGTTAGGCCAAACGGCATCCGGACATACTCGTAATGGCCATTTTCGACATTGAAAGATTTTTGAAACATAAACCAGGTGCTCTTGAAGTGATGTGCTGAACACAATGATATCGTCCATGTACACTTAGCAATTTTCTCCTTGGAGGCCTTCCAAAACCTTATCCCTCTAGAACAGTGGTTCCCAAACTGGTGGGTGCGCCTGCCAGGGGGGACGTGAAGCAACATTAGGAGGGCGTAAGTCTTCTTAAAAATTATTAGAAATTTTAAGATTCAAAATAAAAAATCAGTTTAAATTTAAAAAAAGATGTCTACAATCCGGCAACAGCGCATAACTAAGCCAGAGCAGCTTTACCATGCGATCATTGCTACAGCGCACGCTCGCTGCCCACTGTCATGCCCATTCCTCCTCTTCCAAAGTCCAGTTCAGACGAGTTATAATAACTAAAAAAATGTTGCTGCATAATGGCATAATGGGGGAAGGAAGGGTGGCGCCACCACTTCTTGATTTCAGAAAGGGGGCGCAAAAAAAAAAAGTTTGGGAACCACTGCTCTAGAACATATCTGGAGCGTTTGTTAGGCCAAACGGCATCCGGACATACTCATAATGGCCATTTTCGACATTGAAAGCAGTCTTGCATATATCTTCGTTAGCCATTTCGATTTGGTGAAAACCACTTGCCACATCCAAGGGCGTGAAATTCTGGTATCTACCAAGTTTATCCAGTGCCCGGATTCCGAACCCATGATTCGATAGTATCGTCCATTTAAATATAGATAGATGTTAATATCGAATCGTGGGTTCGGCATCCGGGCCAAAGGATGTCTGTTATGTTTGGAATTGGGTATTTATCGTCGATAATTTTCTCGTTTACTTTCCTATAGTTCACTTCTATCCGCCATTTTATTATTCCGGAGGCGTCTGTTTTTTTTTTTTTTGGAACAATCCATATCGGGGAAGACCCAGGTGACTAGCTTAGTCTGATAATTCCTTGATCCAACATAGAAGATATCTGGTTTTTCATTTCCTCTTCATGGATATGTGAATATTTATATGACTTGGTTTACACTGGAATCTCATCTTTGGTTTCAAATGGTGTTTGATCTAGTTTGTAAAGGTCAGGAACATGTCTGGATAATGGAAAATGTCTGTATACTTCATACATAAATTTTGTATTGCCTTTTCTTCCTCTGAATTTACGTGATAAGTTCAGATTTCAGGAATCGTGCCATGCGCCGACGGAGATTCTTGAGAAATTAGTGGTGTAGATATGAAACTGATGAAGGTCCAACTGCGTAATAATGACTTGTCAGGGTTATCTGAAGTTCTTCGTCGATTGTGTTGACACTTTCAGTCCAAGCGAGTTGATTACAAGCATTCCGGATATATGGGGTTATTGATCCGTAATTTGCATCTAACATGTTTCAATTTAGACATTTTCAAATAAAATCTATATAGATCATTTTATCGGATGATTTAATTGTATGTCATAATTAGTTTTCAATAATAAATATCCAATAGGCGAACAAGAGCAGCCCATGGTAAATTGCATAAATAATGCATGGTTTAATTTAATATTATTAAATTTGAGGTTAGTGTCCCAAAAATTCTGGCCTCTGTTGGCCTAGTGCTTCAATTATTAAATAACATTGAATAAATAGATACAACAGAAAGAATACAAATTTGGATTGGAGAAGTTGGGACCAAAAAAATATTGCTAGTTGAACCTTCATACAATTTTGCACTAGAAGCAATAGGGAAGTCGTACAATTTATTTAATGATTGAGTTCCTTTCATCAGGTGACAAGACGAATTTCACAGGATTTAAGAAATATAAACGGGCAAGGCCTTAGAGCTAGGAGTGTATTCTCATGTCGTTTCTTAGTAAATTGATAACCTTACTTTACACGAAATAAGCACAAGGTTTTACCAAAATCAATTACGTTCATTTGCCAAACTGGATTTGTTTGAAAAATGTTGAGCTCAATTAGAGCATTAAACCCTATTTATTCATCTAGGTGTATGAGCTAAAACACGTCCTTAACCCTCAAACGCGGAACCCTTTTTGTGCGTCACGCATGTTATTGTCGTCATTCACGTGTAGGGTCCTGATCCCTTTTCAACATGCCTAATCCCCAAAACGTCCGTGTCCGTTGGCTTAAGAGTTCGTTACAATTATGCCGGAAAGGGCGAATTTAGGGTCGAAAGAAATATCGAGAGGTGGAAAATGCGAGAAGGGTACGTGACGTACAACAATGAATCGTAAATATTACGTAATTTTGCACAGACCTCAAAAATTCGATGCCTTTGGTAACTTGTTCTTCTGAGGTTGAAAACATATTTGTGAATTATCACTTACCAACATATGCTCTAACGTCATAACTGGTTCCTATTGGCGCACCGTTGTATTCTTTCGCTGGTACCAATTGGACACTTGGAGGCGCCAGCGGAGTGATTTCCATAGTGAATGGGTAAGCATTGGCACCCAGTCTTTTCATAAGGGCTTCCTGAAACATAAATTAATTTAATTTTACTTTTATCCCAAATCAGATAATCGTTCTAATACCCCAAAAAATCATTACCCATGGATATTAAATAGCGCTTGTTCAATTTTCTTTTATTCGATTTTCCATCAGATTGTTTGTTTCGTGAAAGGAAACCAATCAAAATTAAAGGATTAACGGAAAAAGTTGCTTAATCTGGCAGATAGAAAAACAATATTCGGTGTTAATGGAATTGTTAGTCGTTTTTCTAATGTATTAGACATAGAAGGTTATTCACCATCAAAAAAAAATTCACACACAAGGGTCAAACTCTCCATTTATTGGTAAAACGAGCTGTAGCTTGATACCGGAGTTATGGAAATTAAAATTTAATTGCCAAAGGGATGAGACATGGAGAGTCCGGTTCCTTAACCCCAACCCAAGCGAAACGATCTTTTTCTAATTGAAATTTATTCGGTTTTCCACTACGCCGAGGCTTACGAAGTTGGAAAGTTGGGCGAGCTAAAAAAAGTACTTGCAGCGTAAATTAAATAACTACAAAAAAAACAATTAGAAAGTTTAAAATGAGGCTTAAATTTAATCAATCAAAACTTAAATTTTATTCTGAGGGAATGGTTTAGGTATTTTCTGGAGTTTCGTACTTGGAATTTTGCCTTTAGGAAATTGCCTTTCTAATTAAAATTGTTTGTAAGGTCAAATATTGATTTCATTTTCCAAAAGAGCAATACTTTTAGGATTCACTGCTTAAAAATTCATGCGACTTTCTGTTTGCAATAGATTGCGGGTGCCGGATGTTTTCTTTCTTTAATTAATTAGTAAAAATGCCCAATTGCTAAAGACCTGGAATGGCCCACATGGGCGTGATTCTAATAACACTTCAAACGAGAAATAATTCTGAAAAATCATGGTGCAAAGGCAACAAAACCCACTTACAATTGTATATTGTTAAGCAGGAAATTAAAAAATTATCACAAACGTTTGGAAGACGAAATTTAGAACGGTTCAGGGATTGCGGGAACTGCTTGCGCCCAAAAAATGATGGAATGAACCAAATCGGAACCATAAAAAACCAAAATAACTCCGTAATTCAGGACCAAATATTCTGTCTATTAAAGCTTGAAAAGTTGCAGGTGCATTTGTAAGTCCAAATGGTAAACTCTTAAACATAAAGTGACCTCTACCAGGTATTGTAAAAGCTTTATATTTTTTTGAATCTTTTGACATCTTTACTTGATTATACAACTCGCTGTACATTATTCCCATATGACACGAGAGGCTTAACAAGTGATAAGCCCTTTGGGATTATCGCGCTTGATGTATTAAAGTTTAGTTCGTTGTATAACCTTTTGAATACCACTCGATGTTTCAGGATTACCTAATACTTTTACCCGACACTCAACGCGTTACCAGCAACACCACTCCTCCTTTGGAGTAATCGGAGTTGTGGTGTGCACGTAGTTAGAACGGTTCAGGGATTGCGCAGAACTACTTGCGCCCAAAAAATCGGAACCATAAAAAACTAAAATAACTCCGTAGTTCAGGACCAAATATTCTATCTATTAAAGCTTGAAAAGTTGCAGGTGCGTTTGTAAGTCCAAATGGTAATCTCTTAAACTCTACCAGGTATTCTAAAAGCTGTGAATTTTTTTGAGTTCTTTGACATCTTTACTTGATAATACGCCATTCTTATATCAAGAGTTGACAAATAACGATCGTTCCCTAATCTGTCCGAAATTATTATGTTATATTATTCAATTTCCTATAATCTATGCAAAACCTATACGAACCGTCGCCCTTTGGAACCATCAAATTTGGGGATGACCAAGGACTATCACTCTTCTCTATTATGTCCATATCTAAAAGTTTAGTTACCTCCTCATCTATTTTCTTTTGCATTGAAGGACTTACTGGATAAAAACGGGATCTAATTGGAGATCGATTAGCTATATTTTCATGTTCTACCAAATCAGTGCAGCCTAAATCTGTATCTTTTACCGATTCCAGGTCATCGTTTATAACTGAATTTAATCTATTTCTCTGTTCGACAGTTAAATTATCCGCTAACTGAATATAATTTAGGTTTAGATTTTCTTCACTAGTTCCAAAATACCATTCTCCCTTTCTTAAGCTGTACCCAAAACAAGTGTATGCCTTAACTGAGGCATAACAAAAAATTCTGAAAAATCAGAGCAATCGTGTTGCAAAGACAACAAAACCCACTTACAATTATATATTGTTAAGCAAGAAATTTAACAAATATTACAAACATTTAAAAGACGTTAATCATTACAGTAGCTTTGTTTTGGTTTGAAATTTAGAACGGTTCAGAGATTGCGCAGAACTACTTCTGACCAAAAAAACACTAGTTCTGAACTAAATCGAAACCACAAAAAAACAAAATAACTCCGTTGTTCAGTGGTGGAACTCATTGCCATGTAGAATTCGACATATCGAAACATATCGAATGCCGCGCAGCCCGCAACCTGCACAAAAAGCCGGCCGAGCCTATAGAATTCTGTCGATATGTAGAATTCGACAAGACACGGAGTCCCTAGGCAGGACCAAATATTCTGTCTATTAAAGCTTGAAAAGTTGCAGGTGCATTTGTAAGTCCAAATGGTAAACTCTTAAAACATAAAGTGACTTCTACCAGGTATTCTAGAAGCAGTATATTTTTTGAGTCTTTTGACTTCTTTACTTGATTATACAACTCACTGTACATTATTCCCATATGACACGAGAGGCTTAATAAGTGATACGCCTTTTGGGATTATCGCGCTTGGTGTATTGAAGTTAAGTTCCTTGTATAACCTTTTGAATACCACTCGATGCTTCAGGATTACCTAATACTTTTACCCGACACTCAACGCGTTAGCAGCAACACCACTCCTCCTTCGAAGTAATCAGAGTCACGTAGTTAGAACGGTTCAGGGATTACGCAGAACTGCTTGCGCCCAAAAAAGAATGGAACACTAGTTCTGAACCAAATAGGAACCATAAAAAACCAAAATAACCCGTAAATCACAAAATTCCAAAACAGTTCCTCTTTCAGCGTAAGAACTGAGAGAACCGTTCTAGAACCCAGAATTGTTCTTATAAGGTTCTAAATAACCCAAAAAGCTGTCAACACTTCTTTTGCGATCCTGAAAAGACGAAAATGCTTTTTATAACATGCGCACGTGCAAAATGATTCCGAACTACACCATTTCCAAATTCAAGCGGCAGTAAATGACAAACTGGTAATTTTCATCACAACCTATCAAATGTCCTCCATGCATGCGCACCGGTCCAGGTAGGGCATTTCAACCAATAGGAAGGCTGGTGTTTGTTTACAATTTAGGTTATTAAATGTCATTTACTGCCACTTGGATTTGGAAATGGTGTAGTTCTAGTTTCTAGTTCTAACTAATATAAGCACTGTATATCTCACACCTCCCAGGTTAACAGATATAATATAAGGTCTGTTTCTGCAGACATCACAAACCAGTCAGAGCCAGAAATAATCAGAAAACTATTTTCAACCAATGAAATTTACTCTGACTGGTGATTTCTGCAGAAACAGACCTATTGAAAATGAATTTCTCCAAGGAAAGTAACAAAATGCAATTAATTTAATTTTTTATTTCAACCCCCAGGTAAAAAACAACTTGAACAAATATCCTATACCCACTTCAGCTTCCGTATTTCGAAAGAATTGTAATTAAATGGGGCGTTTGGAACTTAAATTGAAGGCTCCTAAATAAATTAAGTAGGAAAACGGAGGAAAACTCGCATTCGCTTGTGCTCTTTTTTCCAAAGAAAATCGTACAATGGGCCCGGCAAACAACTTTTGGAATATTAAATTGTTACGGCAGGAGAACCTATCAAAGAAACTCTCTTCTCGAAGGCTGAAAGGCTCATTTTCGACGTTTTGGCTCCCGGGGGAAGGTTGTTTAATAATTTTCGAGTGATCTTCAAAAACGACTGAAGTTGTATGGAAAACTTTCCGGAAGCCGGACAAATATAATAGCGATTTGAATCGCGAACTAAAAAGGGACATGACTTCTTTTTTCTCTTCATTATTGCACGATTGCATGAAAAATTCATTAAATTGCTAGGCCAAGGCCAAAGATTGAATTTAGTTGTAACGTTAAAGTTTGTATTACCTAGATGGCCCAGTTGGCACAGAGCCAGCGGGCGAGATTTTTTAAAGAGCAAATTTAGAGATTTAACAGCTGCAAATACCGTCATTTTATAGGGCGGGTAAACTAATTTTTATTCACATGAACAACTGAAAATGCAACAAATCATTATTTTGTAACTTGATCTCAAGTTTTGGCAATTCCAATTTAGAACATCCACGGAATCTCTACACTATGAATGAATGAATGAGTGAATTAGGGAAATTGTTACTCTGCGACCTGCATAGATCTATTGTGCCCTCCTTCTGGGTGCTTCAGTTGATATGATACTCACTCAAAGCACCCATCACGCCTGCTCCCATCCCACTCTCTGTCCTCGATACATCCGTAAACAGACGTAAGTTACGAAAGTAAGGATTCATGATCATTTAACTGGTATATTTAGGGGTCCAGCTCACAACATCTGCAACTTGAATTTTCGGATTACGTCTCACATGCCAGTTTATTTTCACAACTTAAGAGGCTGTGACAGCCGTTTATTTATTAAACAGCTCTGTTGTGAAAATGATACGATTCATATCCTTGCACATTTTTAAAGTCAATATTGGGTGATGAATTGATATAAAAAGTTTTTTATTAAGTTTAGATTTTTAAAATCTCCGTTTTTTTTGCGACTTCATTGGATAATCTTAGTGAAAGCTTGGATCCCAGACACACACAGTAGGGCATGCTTATTCTGCACCCACTCTTACTTTCTTGGCACAGCCATTGTTTAGGGTAGGCACCTTGTTGTGTGTGTTCTTGGCATAAGGTCTGTAGCCATTCTAAAACCATTGTTTATGTTGATAAACAGCAGTTTGGTGCCTTTAACGTTACCTTTGT